CCCCAAAACCCCAAAACCCCAAAACCCCATGAATCCTATATTCTTAAATTGGATATTTTCATTAAAATGCTATAATCGAAGTTATTAATCTGTTTTTATCTTTAACGTGTCTAATCTATGCCAATTATATTATTAAATTGTAAAAATATGTTCTAATAAGTTGCAAACGTGAGAGCTAAATTCCTCAGTATAATTTAGCAGAAAAGAAAATTAAAGTAGGCACTGGATTAAGAAGATAGTCTAACTGTGATGAAAGTCGGGAAATAAATTAGAAGAGGAAAGACTGCATAAAAAATTACAAATAACTCAAGCATAACACAGAGAAATGAAGTCAATACAGTTTAGTAGTCTCAGCAGTCACTCAGTATGCAAAGGATTGATGAAGTTGAAAACGACGATGAGAATCCTTTTTAAATTCTATCTCTAAAATCATAGATGAGTTAGAAATCAAGTGGCAAGAGTTACCTTGGAACACAGGTGAACAGATCTTGATTATTAATAGACAAGTCTAAAATGCAGGAGCTTAATAAAAACTTCACAAATTTAAGAGAAAAAGAATAATTCGAAGAAGATTTGATTAAACTGTTTACAGAATTAAGCTAATTAACTATAACCAAGGTACTCCTAACTAATAAAAAATTGTAAGAGGGAAAAAAAGGTATTTATCAATACAGCTTACAATGCGCTTAAAAAGATGTCGATGTTATATTTAGACGATAGCTTAAACATCATAGAAGCAGAAGCTAGGGTTTTAATAATACTTACAGCAAAAGTCCCTTAAAATCTTCAATCTTAAGCACTTCCGCCAATAAATCAACAACTAGTTTTAAGAGTCCTATTTACAATAAAAGCTAAAATAGCATTGACCACTAGAAGTCATTTGTTATGGTTGACTTTGAAGATGAGCAGACTGATATCAATGAACTTTTCATGAATTATAAGAAATCCTAAAATTCTCCAACTTTGCCATTAAATGAGTATGATGAGATATAAATTGGCACTTCAAGAGATTTAAATGAAAGCTAGTTGAAAATGGAAAATGAAATGACTTAGCTTTTCAATGTTAGACAAAACCTTTAGTGTATTAAAAATTGCACCTATTATTTTGGAAAGAAACAGTTCAGACTAAATGGCTGTAGCCTAATACCCAGTATTCCTAATATAGAATCTAATATTTAAATAAGTTCAATTGCTCTTAGAGATATCCATTCTAGACTTGACAAAAGGCAGAGGTAATTTTACATGCAAGAACTTACCACAGGGTATAAGTTTTCCTGCAACTATAGTAAACTATCGCTTTATAAGATCGATATCCTTGGCAAATATGAAAATGCATGCATCGGGTATCTATCTGTATTAAAATCATCTATTTGGATTACTAACAACTAATTCAAAAGGATATTTTAACTCAAGCTAGTCCATCATACCTGGGTACTTTAATACCCTTAAGGCTAAAATTAAGGAAGCAATGAAGATCTGATAAATATATTTGAATTGAGATATGCTCCTGATCATACAGTAAAGATAAACTTCCCGATATTTATTAACTGGAGAGAGAAAGTGCTCTTGACTTCAGCAGTCCTGATATGCCAGTGTAAATGAATCAAATCTAAATTATAAGTGTGAAACTTTATATTAACATTAATAGGATGATTATAATCCAAGTTTCAATAGTATTAAGTTTAAATCTATGATAAGTAAGAATATTTGCGATAATTGTTAAAAATATCTATGCTAGTCTTGAGGGGTTTTGGGGTTTTGGGGTTTTGGGG